TTACCAGTCACAAAAAAGACAAAAAATAAACAAACAAAGAAAGAAAGAAAGAAAGAAAGAAAGATAATGTGAATCCCTCACTGAATTTTGAACACCCCTCCTACTCTTTGACTTATCCAATGAAAGGTCATTGAGGTTTCAGGCTTGGATAGCTAAGGGAGGAGGAAGTAAACACAACAAAAAGTAAAGAGAAATCGTGGTTTAAAGATAGGGGATTAAAAGTATTTATTTTCGTATAATAAATTCTCAATAAAACTGCTAGCTATTACATAAAAATATTAGCTTTATTCTTCTATCTAATGTTCTATTTCAGAAAAAGATCTTACCTAAATTAAGGCTCTTCTATTAAAATTAAATGTTCTATAGCAACCCCTCCACCACAAATTGTGTATTAATAGCACTCACCCCTAACAAAGTAACGGAATAGACAGACTAGTTGTGTGCTAGTGACATCTAACAGAATTTAGTAAAATAATTTAAGATTGTATTCAATACTTAAATTGTTTGTAAGAAATTTAGAAATAACTGCCTCAGAATGTTTTACCTCTAGCTCTTTCCATGATCTAAGCTCTTAAAATTATGTGCTTATTAAATATTAAGTATATTTCAGGTGGCTTCTATCACATATCATAGTTTTAGAAATTCATGACTAGATGGAGAAATCATCATAGTAAAAGAAAAATGTCATTACTAAGTCTTGTTGGAACTTTAGAATGCCATTCTGAATAAAATCTAATTTATTTTATTAATCTGAATAAAATATCAACAATAAAATCTAATTCAATGAATTTTGTTTAAAGAAAAGTATCAAGACCAGAAAAAAGGAGATACTATTCTGCCATAAAATAAAGCACTAAGACTCACAGAGACCTATGTGCATTTACTAAGTAAAACATAATTCTTTTGTTATACCAGTGAGTTGCCACTAGATCTTCATGCTCCAGAAAACTTAAACTGACAGCCAAAAAAGTCTAATGCATGGAATTTTACAGCTGAAAGGGGACTCTGCTTCAAGTACAATTTTCAAATTGGTATTCTATGTAATTATATTCTAAGAGATGTTAACGGGTTGACCATGAGAAAACAGGATCTGGACAGGTAAGTTTAGGAAATGCTATGATAACCTTCCCTGGAGATTTATGTGCATATAAGCATAGCACTAAAAGTTTTGAAGAGTCCTACCTTTATGAGTATAACAAAAATTAATTCTGATTTAACTCAGTGTGCTCCAAAATTATTTGCCATGGAACATTGTTTTTGGTCAGTAAGCCTATTAATGGCCTTGGGATAGTGTTCTGGGCAAATCAGTTTGGAAAACCGCGGTCTTTTCAAATTCCCTTAAACTACAAAACCAAGGCTGAGAGAGATCACACCTGGTTAGCAGCAGAATGAACTTGAACCTAATCTCATTCTCAGACCAGAGCTCTTTCCACTACTTTAACTACAAAATAAGACTCCTTTGACTATATACAGTCAAACATTTAATTGACAACATTTAATTTACATTTAACATATTGGTTATGGTATCACATTTTCTGGTTTGTGTATTAACTTAGGTGTTTTTAATTATTCGTTCAAGAGCTGGGTCTCTAATAATGAAGCCCACCTGGAGAGTTGGTATTGCTTAGCAATTCTGAGGAATGATTTAGTTTAGAGTGGTGGCTGAAAGTATTCACTAAAATAAAGTATTTGAACTATGCGTGATTATAATTTATTCATAACTTATGTCAGCTCAACTAAATCACTATGTTGTCTATAGGTGGTGAGTTACTTAGCACAATGCTGATTGGTGTTGTTTATAATAGTCCATTTTCATACCTACAAATAAAATTAAAATGCATGAACTTATGTCCGATTAGGCAATAGCCAATAACATCAAAATTGAAAGATTTCTGTATTTTTGTTCAGGGCTGTCAGGCAGTTTCCTATATTTCTGTAATCATAAAAAAAAAATGTTTTTGATTGCTTTAACTAAATCAGACTTTTCCAATCATTATATTTCTAAAACAACACAGAACTTTAAGATAGCTTAAGAGTATCAAAACACAATTAACTTAGCTTTTTAAAAGTATAGTTGTGTGCCACTCCCCACCCCCTCGGATAAGAACAGAGACAGAACAAGCGACTGCTGTTGTGTTGTAACTTTAAAAGGCTTGGGAATCAAAGGTGATAATTGTTAACAACTTCCTTATGACTAGTCTGACTTCCTCTTAAACTTTGGCTCACCTTTCTAAGCCCGCACTTGGGAACATTTACCACAACCAGCATTCGTGTCTCCTCAGTCCTAAAAGAACCCACCAGAGGAATGAGATGGCACCATGCCCTGAGTCCTCCAAAAGAGATTATTCCGCGCGCCTTTACCGTACAGGTGCGACCTCTACCCTAGCCTAGCACACTGCTCGCCCCCAGCGCAGGAGGTTCGGGACCGGCCACCGGACGCCCCGGCCCCGCCTTAGGCCACCTCTGTCTGGTGCGGCCTTCACGCCTCCGTCCGGCCCGGCCCTCCGGTCCCTGCGCAGCTCCAGTGTCCCGGGAAGTCAGAGCATGGCCGGCGGCTTCGCTGCTTCAGGCGGGGTCGGGGTGGCAACACCCCCGACGCCACAGCAGTCAGACCCGCGGGGCATCCCCGCGGCTCCGGAACGAGCCGGGCCGAGGAGGTTGATCCAGGCCGGCGACCAGCCTTACGACCGCACTGGGGGCGGGGACGCTGTTACCTGCCGTGGGCTCGGCCGCTCCCCGCCGGCGCCGCTCTCCTGGCAACCGCGGCAGCTACACGGAGCCCGGCCGCCGAAGGGCCTAGTGACAGCTCCCAGCGTGCACCGCGCCCGCGCCGGCGTCGACGTTGACGGCCCTCGATCCCCGCCCCCGGTCCGCTCCTTCCCTCCTGGCGCTAGCTGTCTCCACAGCGCCCTCAAGCGGACTCTTCGGAGAAGCGGCCACGGTCACTAACCGGGGGAGTGGACTGGAAAGGGTAGTTTAGCAGGTGTTTTCAGCTCCCCAGCACCAGTCCCACCTTGATGGAGAGTTTGAAGGTATAATAAGAATTTAAAACAGTTTTAAAGAATACTTAAATAATTCCTCATTTTTTCCTGTTGTAGTCATTTAACCAAGCAACCCTGTTTCGCTCTCCTGGCAACCGCGGCAGCTACACGGAGCCCGGCCGCCGAAGGGCCTAGTGACAGCTCCCAGCGTGCACCGCGCCCGCGCCGGCGTCGACGTTGACGGCCCTCGATCCCCGCCCCCGGTCCGCTCCTTCCCTCCTGGCGCTAGCTGTCTCCACAGCGCCCTCAAGCGGACTCTTCGGGGAAGCGGCCACGGTCACTAACCGGGGGAGTGGACTGGAAAGGGTAGTTTAGCAGGTGTTTTCAGCTCCCCAGCACCAGTCCCACCTTGATGGAGAGTTTGAAGGTATAATAAGAATTTAAAACAGTTTTAAAGAATACTTAAATAATTCCTCAGTATTTCATTCGAGTAACCTGAGGCCCAGTGAAGTTAGGAGACTTGTGAAGTTAGAAGACGAATAGTTGGTATCAGATTCGGTGCTATTTCGAACCTTGAGCTCTCTTAATTAGCTCTATCAATTAGTCCAAAGAGGATGGTACTGATTTGCCAGACCGTAGGCCCAAAAAATGATTGAAAGTTTTTACGAATGTATGACTGTGCATAAAATATTTAAAACAATCTTTTGAACTAACAAAACACCAATTATGAAGAGTATGCCGTGCTAAGAATGTTATTTTTTCAACATAATGTCAATGTCTAAGCATTTAACGGCCTTGAGGATTAAAGGTGGAAGATATGAGGAGTTGAAATCATCGCGCTTTAAACAGATGAGTTCTTTGAGGCCGGATAGTAGTAAAGTATTTTTTAAACTGAGTTATCTCCATCCATGATTTCTAATTATTGTGATGGATACAGGAATTTGTGCAGCAACAGGATAAACTTTAAGAACCCCCAATAATAATTTTAGAAAAATTGTCTTTAGTATTTTTAGGGATACTAAAGGATTTGTTTATTTAGGATTTATTTAGGGACTTATTTATTTATCTAGAAATGCTTCACTTACGACTTTGAAATGGTAAGGTAGAGCATCAATAAACAGGATTTCCTGTACACAAACCATCATTGTTTTTATTTTAAAAAATAACAGCCTCGTTTTTAAAGAAGTCCTATTGTATTTATAAGTATTTACACTATTCCAGATCCTTGTCTTTACCGTGTCAAGCTTTCCAAAATTGTCTTCTAGTGGTACTGAGATTAAAACTTCTCTGAGTGTATTTACTTCTGCAAAGGTGAATAGTGGAAATGTACATATGAAATCTAAGGTACTAGATTTCAACCGCACTCTTCTGCATAGGTGACAGACAACTTCCTTACATTTTTGCAACTATTTCAATCTTGGCGCTATGGTGTCTAAACTAAGAAGCAATGCCAAGTCAATCCTTGACATTTTTGTTGCCTCACAGAGGCTAACAAACGACCATAGTTCATTAAAAAGAGACCAAGATAAGTTGGGTTTGGGCGGGGAATTCTGCTCCTGGACCCCCTGTGGACAGTGCCCGCCTGTATCACCTTCCTCATCATCTCCCTTTCTTCGAGCCTTATCCCCCATGCAAGCTAACTAACGGAGTGTGCCTCAGTCTGACTTTTAATTTCATTTTCGGGGAGGCTAACGCGCCAGGTCACGCTCATATGAAGCAGCGTGGGAGGACAGCCGGCTTCCCCCGCCCACCTTTCCCAGCGCTCTGGGCGGGGTTTTGAAAATGCGCTCCCCGCGCCCGGGGGTGGGGGTGAGTCCAGGGCCCTCGCGGTGGCGTGCTCTCCGTCCGGCAGGCGGCGCTGTGGGCTGGCAGGAGGTGTCCGCTGGGCGATTCTGTCTCGCCGGTCGGCGTCAGCCTCGGCTGCTTCTACTCTGGCCACACGTGCAGCCGCGGCTGGCGCCGGTGGCCCCAGTCCACGAGCACCTCGGGCTCGGTCCCACCCAGGACGGAGCTCCGACCATGGCGGCGACCGCGGCGAAATCGCGTGTGTTCCTGGAGGTGCGGAGGCAGCTGCAGAGCGCGCTGCTGATCCTAGGGTAAGACCAGGGGTGCGAGGGTGGGCTCCTTAAGCACTTTCCGCTGCCCGGAGACAGGGAAGTCTCCGCCTCCCTCAGAATGAAGGATTTTGCGTTTCTTCATTCCAGTTGCTTAGAGCCTTTTGATTACTCAGAGTGAAATCTCTCCCTTAACAAGATTCCCAGGACTCAAATGCACGTTCAAGTTTGAAGAACAGTGATGTAAAACGCCGTTGGCAGTACCTGGCGTTTCCAATAAAACTGCAAAAAATGTTTTGTCTACCTCTTCGGGATCCTGGTTTTAAGATCAGGTCCAGTGTGTGCCCTTCCTGCTTTGTAAATAACCTCGGGTTGTTTCTCTGCCTAAACTGTTCTATGCACAGTCATTCAATAAACCTGTGTTCAGTGAACCTCAAGAAAAGGTTGCAGGCTTCTTATTGGAGCTAATTCTTTTATTCATATTCCGAGTTCCAATGAGAAGTCTCCAAACGTTTCACTTGTTATTCACTACACAAACAAGAAACTTTTCAGAAAAATGTTCTCTTGTTTGTTTGGCAGCAATTTTAATAGTTTGTGGTCCCTTTGCCTGTTCTTTTATGACCAATGATTCAGAAAGTAAATTACATGTTAAAATCCTGAAAATTTTATTACACAGTGCCTCAGGTAGATTGATGTTCTAGGCTGATTTCATTCTTTTCCTGTTGTAGTCATTTAACCAAGCAACCCTGTTTTTGTTTTGTTTTGTTTTGTTTTGAAGTGGAAAAATGCTTTTACAAACCAAGTGTTTTTGTTTTGTTTTGTTTTGAAGTGGAAAAATGCTTTTACAAACCAAGTATGCTCACTAATATTTACAAACCAAGTATGCTCATAGAAGCGACTATGAGATATCGCTTCTCCCAGAACTAGGGTGTGTGTGTGTGACATATATATGATGTTCATGTAGAGATGTGCATACATACCTACATACATTTACATGTGTCTGTGAGGGGTCTTCAAAAAATTCATGGAAAGATTTGTATTATCTTTTAGTTCTATTTTTACGTGAACTTTTTGAAGTACCCTTGTACGTTACTGTATCTATTTGTATACATTGCAAACTGAGACTTCACATAGGTATTTTCAATTCTAGTCACTACCATAGGGTTCATTCTAGTTTTCTCCCTTTCTCTCTTTGTAATTCCAGTCTCGCACAGTTAGAATCCTCGCCCTTGTCATCTTCATGACAATTATTAACTTAGTCAGTCCTCTTCTATGTAACTGATCTCCTGGCATGGTTTGCCACTCCTCCTGCCCCACCTCCCCATTGTTGACACTCTTGTCACCTACTTGCACCCTGTTATAGACTGAATGTATTCTCCCAAAATTCATTTGTTGAAGCCCTAACCTTCAATGTGATGGTATTAGGAGGTGGGGCCTGTGGGAGGTAATTAGGTTCAGATGAGGTCATGAGTGTGGTACCCGCGTGAGATTAGTATCCTTATGAGAGGAGGAAGATACATCAGACCTAACTCTATGCTGTGTCTCTTGTTTAAGCCACTCAGTCTGTAGTATTTTATTATCAGCAGCCAGAGCTAAGGCAGGCTCTGAAACCCCATGCTGAGCTGCCCCTGCCCCTCCTTCCTGCTCAGATTTCCTCCTCACCTGTCTTGGGATGACATCACTGTGGGGTGGTCCTTCTGGTGGTTGCCCTCCTCACCCTGCTTGGTTTCTCACATTCATGCCAGTCCATTGTGGTTCCCCAATCCTTGCCTAGATGCCTATTTTGCTTGGCTTTATGTAATTGACTGTATTTTTGGGAAGGAGAAGAAGACAGAGATGGGGTGGTGGGAGGGACTTAGGAACCCAGTGGCACCCCTTGAGGCACTTACAAATGCCAGCTACACAGTCCAGTTTTGAAATCATTGAGGTAGCAAAATGGACATTGTATGTATTTAGAGCAGAGGTTAGCAAACTGAGGCCCATGGGCCAAATCTAACCCATAGGCTGTTTTGGTACAGCATGTGACCTAAAAATGGATTTTACATTTTTTTTTTTCCTTTTTTTTTTTTTTTTGGTCTCTTTTTTTTGTGACCGGCAACAGATCGCAACCCTCAGTGTCGCACCCGTACCGGACCAGGACTGGCAACGGGATCGCAACCCTCGTTGTTGCCCCCGCACCTCGCTCAGCCAGTGAGCGGCCGGTCTGTATGTGGGATCCGAACCCTCGGCGGGAGCGCCGCCACGCTTCCCAATCGGTGCACTGTAGCAGTGCGCCACTGGGCCGGCCCAAGGATTTTACATTTTTTAAGGGTTGTTTAAGAAAACTCAAAGTAGAATATGTAACAGAGACCATATAGCCTAAAATATTTACTATTTGGCCTTTTACAGAAAAAGTTTGCTGATCTCTGCTTTAGAGATCATTGTTTCTTAAACATTTCTTCACATTGGACTTTTGATTCAAGGATTTGAGGCTGTCTTTCCTGCCCCAAACTCAGGTTCTTGATATCTTGTATTGCCAGTTAAGTGCAGATCCTTTTGCTTTGAAAAGGAACTAGTTAGAAATTAGTCTGATGGGGCCGGCCCGGTGGCGCACTGCTACAGTGTGCCACTTGGGAGTGTGGTGGTGCTCCCGCCGAGGGTTCGGATCCCATGTACAGACCGGGTCTGCTCACTGGCTGAGCGAGGTGCGGGAGCAACACAGAGGGTTGCGGGGGGGGGGCCGGTCCCGGTCCGGTACGGGCGCGACACTGAGGGTTGCGATCCGTTGCCGGACACGAAAAAAGACAAAAAGGGAAAAAAAAAAAAAGAAATTAGTCTGAAGATTTTCTAAGGCAAATTAAGAGTCCTATCTGAACACGTGGTCTGCTCCCTGTACTTAGATGACACTAAGGCAGATGGCCCGCTGTCTGCACTTAGGTGACACCAGATGGATGTCCTGCTTTCTACACTTAAGAGGGGGCTGTGGTACTTTGTACCTCTGTTACAATGCTAAGCACATTTCAGCTTTATAGGATGGTCGTTTCTGTATATGCCTTCATCCCCTTCTATACTTTTGACACCTGGTGGACAGGGACTGTGTTTTACTGTATATTGCCTACACTGAGTAATTTGCATTTATTGTGAATTGGATTAGTAAGTCCTTTCACACCTGGTATTCATGCATCATTATGCATTTTATATTCTTCATTAATTCTTTTTTTTTTGATTATGCATATTCATGGAGTATGAGGCTGACCATCACCTCCTGTGCCCAAGATGTGATGGTCAGATCAATACTATCAGCATGCTCATTACCACAAATCGCAATTATTCCCCATGTCCCCCACCCAATTAATCCCCGACCCCCGATCCCCCTTGCAACGCTATGTATGCTCTCTCCCTCTGCAAGTCCAATGCACCACTGTGATCTTTCTTTCCTTCCTTCTTTCAGCTCCCACTTATGAGTGAGGACATGCGATATTTTTCCCTCTGTGCCTGGTGTATTTCACTTCATTAATTCTTTTGGCAGGGGGATACAAACCCATAACCTCGGGGTTATAAGCCTGCACTCTAACCAACTGATTTTTATTAAAATTGACAAGAAAGTTTTCCTCTTGTATCTTTTGTTTCACTTAATCCTGGTCTCCTTATCAAATCCGGTACATCAAATAACAGTACTTTGCTCTGATTTACTGTAAGATAAAAAATGATTGTAGTGCTGGTGTCAGAAGCAAGAATAAAAAATATGTTCCAGGACTTTCAAAGGACAGTTAAGGGGTACTGTCTGACTCGATCTAACTCTGATGTAGATTGGTTTCCTTTATAATCTGCTTGCTTATGTTTTTCTGGGGCAGTGACTTTAGAGCCCCTTTGCAGGGGAACAGAGAGATCCTCGGTCATTTTCATTTCTTTCATCATGTGGTTTTCATTATGAGAAATAATTTGTTTGATTTTTATTTTTTATTATCAGAGAGCCAAAAGAAGGAGATATGCCCATGTATATTTCCATAACCTCGTCCTCACTCCAGATGAAAACTCCTGAAGGCTGCACAGAGATCTGGCTTCCAGCAGAGGTCAGGCTTGTACCTTCTTCTTGCCGTGGGCTGCAGTACGTCCCTGGAGATGGACTGCACCTGCGGTTGCAGGCCCAGGCGGAATTCAGCCCAAGTGAGTAGTATTGGTACTTCCGTTTGGCATTTACTTTTTTGTTATAAATCAAAGGCGATTTTTCCTTTAGTAAGATGAACTTTTCCCAAGTGAAACAACTCAGCAGCAGCATGAAAAGAGTTGGAGGTCGAGAAGATCTAGGGTCTTTATAAGCTCTGCAGCTTGTTAGCTATGTGCAATTGAACATGTCATTTACCCTTTCTTAGGCTTCATTTCTTTTTTTAAAAATAGACTTTATTGTTTAGAGCATTTTTAAGTTCACAGCAAAATTGAGGGGAAGGTACAGAGATTTCCCATGTACCCTCTGCTTTGTTTTCTTTCTTTAATTATAAGTTTATTTATTAATATTATTCTTTTACATTCTAAGATGCTGCGGAGCAATTGGGGGTTGGGGAGGAGGTGAAGTGGGGAGGAAATAGGGTGGGAGAAGGAGGAAGGAGCGGGGGCAAGGTTGAGGCCCATGGCACCCTCCTCATTCCTGCAAGGGAGACTAGGGGGCTTCCAGTCGTGGCTAGGTCATTGCTGGGCCGGATGCAGATGTCAGGGGGTTATAGCCAAAGCCCTCGGTCCCCACTGCCCTGGCTCAGGAGCCCGGGTTGCTTCCTGCAGTGCCACAGTGGTTATTGCTGGGCTGGTTGTGGGTGTCAGGGGGCATGGCTGAGGTCCCTGGCCCTCACCATTCCCTGGCTTGGTAGCCCAGGTGGCTTCCAGTCCTTCTAGGTTTGATAGGTGTTCTTTGGTGATCTGAGACCTTTACTAGTTAATATCAAACTTTGTCTCTGGTCTGTGGGTATTTTGTTTTTTCTTTCAGTTCTGTGTTGGATTATTCACATTTCCTACCACTTAAACTCCGCACTAGAACTAATTTGTTGTCCTTCGGTCACTTCTAAAATGGGGGAACTTCCTGTGAGAACCAGCACTTGAACCCTGTGATTTGTTGCTTTGCTGCTTATTCCCTGGGGAAGGCTTTTTGTGCAGCCCAGGTTTTAATGGTTGACTTCGTATGTACTTCTGGGTCTGGTGATGTCTGGTACACCTGGGTTGTGTGGAAACTCTGGTCTGGACCTGAGTCTTTTCAGCAAACTGCACCCCCTGCCGATCTGTATTCCTGACCAGTTTATACAGAGTGGGCCTGTGCTGAGTGATGGGCAGATCAACTGTCCTTGCTGTGTCCCAGTGTTCTCCCGGTGGGCCTGTCTCCCCCATCGCCCACACTCTAAACACTTCTCATGGGGCAGGCTGTGTGCTGGTCCCTTGAGATGATGCACCAGCCTCTAAGTGGCTCCTTTTTTCAGTTGTGTCCCCTTGCTCCTATGTGGATCCACAGGAACCCTGTTAGTGGTCTTGCTGACCTGAGGGCCACCAAGGCCCTCTTCTCCCCTGCCCCATCCAAGCAACTTCACACAAAGGGTACGTCTACAGCTTTTGCCAGTTCTTGCTTCGTGTGCTCACTGGCTCCAGCCTTGAAGTGCCTGCTTTGTTTTCTTTAATTGTAAAATTTCCTGGCTCACAAATGTGATGTGAATATTAAATTAGATGGTGATTGTACAAGACCTGGTTGATTTTACATAGAAGTTTATTCATTCAATAAGTGTTTCAGCTCACACTATGTACTAGGCATTGATCTAGGTGCTGGAGATGCAGAAGTGAACAAGCTAGGAAGGGTCTCTGCTCTCAAGAAGCTTACATTCTAAAGAGTGAGAGCAGATAATGAACAACTAACATAATTGCATACTAAGAAAAGTGCTATGGGTAAAGTCAGGCAGAATAATGGGGCAGGAAATGACTAGGGTTGAGTGAAGGGTGGTCAGGGAAGGCCATTCTGAGTAGGTGGTATTTGGCCAGAGAAATGAATGATGGAAATGATCCCACCCATGTAGAGACAGTTCCAGAGAGAACAGTACATATAAAGGTACTGAAATTGAATTTGCATCATTTGATTTTGATTGTTTTTTTTTTTTTTTTCCTTTTTGTCTTTTTTCGTGACCGGCAACGGATCGCAACCCTCAGTGTCGTGCCCGTACCGGACCAGGACTGGCAACGGGATCGCAACCCTCGCTGTTGCCCCCGCACCTCGCTCAGCCAGTGAGCGGCCGGTCTGTATGTGGGATCCGAACCCTCGGCGGGAGCGCCGCCACGCTTCCCAATCGGTGCACTGTAGCAGTGCGCCACTGGGCCGGCCCAAGGGTTTTACATTTTTTAAGGGTTGTTTAAGAAAACTCAAAGTAGAATATGTAACAGAGACCATATAGCCTAAAATATTTACTATTTGGCCTTTTACAGAAAAAGTTTGCTGATCTCTGCTTTAGAGATCATTGTTTCTTAAACATTTCTTCACATTGGACTTTTGATTCAAGGATTTGAGGCTGTCTTTCCTGTTCCAAACTCAGGTTCTTGATATCTTGTATTGCCAGTTAAGTGCAGATCCT